TCATCTCCAAGGCATCTACCCATTTTTGCATAATTTCTCAGCACTAATCATACAAGCTTAGCTGCTGCACAAGATAATAGAACATGAACAATGCTTTAAAAGCCCCAACCTTATTCAATTAGCAAAAACTCGTACCAACACCAAAGGCATTTCTTAAATCAACACCAACATCCTTAAATCCTTATAATTTTATCATAATTGCAATTGCTATTGGTCTTGATCATGCACAAATTTATAAGCCCAGACTTGCCCAAAATAGGTCAGGCTAACTAACATAGCATTGATTCACTTATTATTGAGAGTTCATATGGTATAAAGTTAAGTCAATTGATTCTAGATTGAATACTTAACCAATTTCTAGAAATGCAACATGTGTAAATTGGGAAGCCCCTACTTCCGCACTATATTTCTTTACAACACCTTTCAATCATTTTGGCTTTTTTCTGAATTGTGTATATATGTTAACCCATTTTCAGTGAAATTATTGTTGTTGTTACAAGATCAGAAATTCTTTTATCAAGCTTGCATCAATCACATTTTCTAGTGCAAGAGGGATAACTGGTCATTTGTCTAGAAATGCTAACTGTGTATGCATAAAGTGGCGTGGCAGGGTAGGGTAGTGATGATCAGAATAAACTGCCATCCTACGTCCTTTGAATTGTTATTAATACCATAACCTACTCATCTGAATATCGATCAAAACACTGCATGATCATGACTACGATGATGATTTCCTCCTTTTCGACTTAAAAGAAAATCCATCATCGTGCCGTAAAACATGATCTCAGCTACAAACTGCAGACCACACATCAAAATCATCCAAGATTCCCCTGATATACACATGTCTACAGATGCATATCTATCATATTTTATTATGTGTATATAAAGCATCTCTATTGAGAACACAAACACCTAAACAAAATCAACCCAGATCCGACCAAAAAAGTTAAAAAACAAAAACAACCCATTTGAAGAGCCTCAAATGCAAGTACCCTTACCGAACAAAAATCGAGAATTCAAAAGAAATCGCAAATGAGACCAAGAACATCGGCAAAAGATGAAAGATAGAGAGAGAGAGAGAGAGAGAGAGAGAGAGAGGTATCTCAGGCTCGAACAAGGGTTTGCACTGCAGGAGCTGTGCAATCTGCTCATCTAGATTCCTATGGGTGTTCGAGGCGACCAGAACTACACTCATCTTCTGGATTATATACAGGAAACGATTTCAATGAAGAAAAACAGTGATGGTTCTATCGATACCCATTAAAATGGTGTAGAAGAAGGCCTAATCACCAACCTAGATTTTGGGTCAATATGCGAACTGCACAGAGAAAGAGAGAGCTCGCAATCGGTGCTCCAGTTGTCAGCGACCGTGAGGAGAAGCGGCGGAAGCACAGCTGGTGGAGCGGCGGTGAGAGAGGGAGGAGAGAAGAGTAGCGGAGAGGCAGAGGCAGAGAGGCAGAGGTAGAGAGAAACGCTGAAGAGAGAGAGAGAGACAGAGGCGCTGGTCTGTTGTCTGGGAACCAAATATATACATATATTACCGACAAAGGGTTGTTTTGGAAAGATGGTAAAAAGTGATTTTTTTTTTGTTTTTAATTAAGTTTGAAAAATGCTTGGAAGCATTAATTAGTGCTCTTTTTTTTTCTTACTTTTTTAATGCATTAGTGCTATTAGTGGTGATGTTTTTAGTGGGATGAATCATTGTTGATTAAGTTTTTGATTTTTTTAGACAAATGATTTGAAAAGTTAGTAAAAGTGACTTTTGATTTTTTTTTTATTAATGTTTGTTTATGATGTCAAATCATAATAAAATGACTAAACTATCTCTATTTATTTAAAATATTTACAATTTCACTTATGTAACACATTTTGACCCATGAAGGTAAAATTGTAATTTCACCGTTGGCTAAAAACCAACTTTCCAAATGAAAAAAAAAAAAAAAAAAAAAGACAAAAAAGCCAATTTTTGACTTTTGCTACAAACTAAAAAAAGTGGCTAAAAGCCAACTTCTCAAAATAGCCCTAAATATTTTTAGTCGCCAATTCATTTTATAAAATCCCTCCAAAATTTGAAATGTTTAGCTCCAAAAATTTTTGGTTTTTGGCAATCAAACTTTTGATCGCCAAAGATAAATAATATTTTTTTATATTTCCATTCGACGACGAAATAATTTTAGTAGCTAATGACTAAAAAAAATTTTTGTTGCTGAAACTAAGTTTTTGGCGACCAAAGTTTGGTCGCCAAAGATAAAAAAAATAATTTTTTACTTTCCATTCGGCCACTAAATGCTTTTAGTAACCAAAACTCAATATACGGTGACTAAATTTTTTCTCTTGTCACTAATTCTAGAATTTTTAGTAATTAAATTTTTTCTTGGTCGCCAATAATCAATATACGCCGACTAGAAAAAATTAGTAGCTAAATAGTTTACTTTTGCCGACTAAAAAAATTATTAGTCACCAATTCCGCAACTTTTGGCAACTAAATTTTTTTTAGTCACTAATTTTAGCCGCCAAATGTACATTTTGTTGTAGTGGCAAAGCCATAGAGCTTCAAAACCGTTCCAGCATATTAAAAAATTCAACAATGGACACACAGAACCAAACCCATAAACCACCATTACAAATTACCTCATCAAACATAGCAAATAATTGTCCGATTCATACCAAATAAAGCTCTAAAAAAATTTACAAAATAACATTAAAAGAAGTAATTTTCTTAAATGAAGCTTTTTTATTCTGGAGAACTTCTGAGAAACTATGTCATTATATCCAGCCAAAACTGTAGTGTAATTTAACCATGAAATAAAATGAAGACTGCAAGGCATTATCAACACTGATTTCAACTGAGACACAAAACGATTAATGTGACAATGAATTCATGAATTGTAATATGAGACCTAAGAAACGAATGACAAGGTATGATATCTTTATTGATTTGAATGTGTAAGTAGATATGGAAACTAAATTGTTCTAAAGACAACTCCATAATCATTTTTTCAGCAGAGAAGTAACATGATATTCCTAAGCAAAGACTGCAAGTATCCTTAAGGGCTCATGGTCCACTCTCAACCAAAATTATGCTCTTTATTGATCATTTAAAATATTTCTGAAGTTTCAAATACACTGATACTGATTTTCACAGCCATATGTATATGTTTTATCCTTGGCTAAATCTTATCATCACCATCTATACCTTTATTCCTTTTCCATCATTGTGATAGAATAGAATTCCAAAGTAGTGATTAGGGGGAGTTGTGTTGCGTCACAAAATTACAACAGTTTACTGTAAAACATAATTGGCTCTTCATTGTTTCATAAAGCTTTCATTGTCCTACAAATCTGAAGAAACCATAACTAAAATAGACTTATAATGACAGATTAATCTAACTTCCATAAAACCTGACATATCAAAGAAACACAGTATCCGAAAAATGGAAGGAATGAATTAGCAATCATACACAAGGAAGAACGCCACAATATTCCTTTTCGGATTGGGTGTTTATGTTTACACAATATTTTCTTATTCTAATCTTCCAAAAAAGCCAGTTAAGGATGAATTTGCAGTGAATTGTTCCAATGCTATGATCACTTGCTCAGAAAATGAAACTACAGAACCCAGTTAAGAAAGTATCTTTTTCAACCTTTTATATTATAATCCTTTTATTACTGATCAAGTTCTTTACTTCTCCTAAATTTATTGAGAAACCAAAGTAATCCAGCATAAATACCATAGAATTTGAATTGCAATTGTTGTGAAATAAGCCAACACAAACAATAACAAGAAGAAAGCAAAACAATCTCACACAAGAAATGACATAGAGAAATAACAAGAAGAATTGCAATTGCAATTGCAATTGCAATTGCAATTGTTGTGAAATGACATTGCTCAGAAAAAATTGTTTATGCCCACAACTCATACCAATTTCACTATATCAAGAGAATGAAAAGAGAGAATAATCCGGTTGCTACAGAAGGCAACAATATATGACGCTTGGCTACCCTAGTACTCAAAATTTGATGAGTTCCACCACACGGCTATTCCTAATGCAATTGCATATGAGATAGTAAATTAAATATGATATATAAATGTGGTCAACACTACATTATTGATTCTCATTATATTAAAAAATATTATTATTGATGTATAACATTAAAATTTATAGTGGCCCAAACTAAGTAAACACTTTGTCAACCTTAATTATAAGAGGTGGCTTTCCTACCATCTATCTCTTATATAGAATTGAGGGTGTTGTTTGGACTCGTAGGATTGATTCTGGGTCCTGTTTCGATAATTTTAACCGTTTATTTTATCAGACTCTTCATCTGTGTCATTCACCAAAAAATTAAATCAATCTAATAATCTTTATCTATTTAAGTTATTGTATTTATATTCAAAAAATAAAAAATAAAAGAACCAGAACACATGAAGAGGCCCAGATTCAAAAGCACAATCATTAATATATATTTCCCAAGTGGAAAATGAATTGTGGCCCTAAAAACAGTGGCCCTAATGGCCCTAATTTCCTTTTTAGGATAAGTCTGTTTTTTTTTTCTTTTTTTTTTCTGCCTTGTTTTTTTTTTTTTTTCCTTATATGGAAATTTAGGGCCATTAGGGCCACTAAATTTCGAGCTACCAACCAAAACCGTTCCCAAGTTATCAAATTTTAAAAACAAAATTCTAAAATTATATCCAAGACAGGCACACTTTTATCACACTTTTATGACCATAGTCATATTTTTGACTTACCTTCACATAGTTAACGTTGAAGGATAGATAGTTGCAGGGGCCTGAGAAATGCAAACAACAATACATAGTATAGAACAGATTCACATCAATAAGTCATATCCAGCAAAAATTATGAAGTGTGTGGTGACTATGTGCTAAATCATTCATATTTTGTTATTCTTTTATATTTTTTCTATTTTTCAAAATCACATGAGTAGAAAAGTCAACAGGAGGGACCAGAGAGGATATGTGCTAAATCATTCACATTTTGTTATTCTTTTATATTTTTTCTATTTTTCAAAATCACATGAGTAGAAAAGTCAACAGGAGGGAACAGAGAGGATCATGACTCCACAAGTTTGGTACTGAGACTATTGTATAATTTTGCTGTCTGGTGATAGCTCGAAAGACCAAATAATTATTCCATATATACATAGAAGTCTTTCAAACTGTTGCAACGGCTACAACCGCAACGTCGCCGGCGTCAGAAATCCTTCTCAACACTCTCCTCAATTTTCACCGGAAAACCACCTTTCATCTTGGACACCGGATGAGCTATTAAAATTGGCTCTTCACCTTCCTCAAAAGCTGTCACAACTCGAAACCGCCGCAAGACACCAGAAACCACCCTCTTCATCTGCAAGAACGCCATATCCTTCCCCAGGCATATCCTCCTCGGTCCAGCTTGGAACACCGGATAAGTGTATGGGTCCCTTGCCACGAAGCTCCACTTTCCGGCCGCCTCGTCTCTCTTTTCCAACCACCTCTCTGGCCGGAACTCTGTCCAGTCCCTCCCCCACAACTTCTCCGATCTCCCCATTGCGTATGGATGGTAAGCCACCCTCGTACCTTTCTTGATTACCGTCCCATCCCGCAACACGTCGTCATCTATCGCTTCTTTTGAGTCAATGGGGACTGGTGGATATAGTCTCATGCTCTCGCTCAACGATGCGCGTGTGTAAACCATGCCCTTCACTTCCTCAAAACTCGCATCTTCCAACTTTTCATTGATCTCTTTCAGAATCTCATTTTCCACATCTGGGTGTCTCGAGATTAGCCAGAAGAACCACGTCAAGGCCGCCGATGTGGTGTCGCGACCTGCCAATATGAAGCTGATGACTATGTCGGTGACGAAGTTTACATCCGAATGTCCGGAACTCAAGAATCGTGATAAAAGATCAACAGATTCGAGTGATGAGTTTTCACCGAGTTCTTGCTTCTTTTCTTTGACTATTTCTCTGGCGAATTCCCGAACTTCATTGACAGAAATTCGAAGCTGTTTCTCAGATCCAATGTCGAGAAACCGTTTAGTTTTCCAAATCAGGGGATGAAAGGCTCTGAACCTTTTACCGCTGATTCGAACAGCAGTTTCGAAGGCTACCGCGAATTTTTCTTGAGGAAGAGATGGCAGCAAATAGGCAGGATCGTGTCCGAAAGAAATCTTGCATATGTTGTCAAATCCGAATCTCTGAAGAATATCCTGAAGATCAAGCACAGTTTTGTTCGCAGCGGCGGTGGAGAAGATAGGAATGAGGCGATCTGAGAGCTCAGTGGCGACAACAGTTTCGACAAATTTGCGTAAAAATTTGGTGTTGAATTCATGGCTAGCAACTTGTCTCTGGAACTTCCAGTTCTCACCGTCGACACTAAAGATGCCATCGCCAAGTAGGTCGAAGATGTGTGCTCGAAAGATTTCGCCTTTTTGGTAGATATGGAAATGGGTCTTGAGAATGTGCTGAACATTTGAAGGATTGGCAGTGAAGACGCGGCGGCAGCCCAAACGGCGGTGAAGGACGAAGGTGGAAGTGGATGTGCTGGTTGTAGGACAATCTTCACTGTATTTAAATAGATTAAATTCTGTTGTATACAAAACAACAACAAGAATAAAAGAAATAGATAAAAGGAGAGAATTTGTTTGATTACAAAAATCAAACTCGAAATAATAATAAATAAATAAAACCACAGATTTTATTTTGTTACGAAAACAAAAATAAAATCTGATTAAATAAACAAATAAAAAACAGAATAAAATTAAACAACTTACTTGGTTAATTTATTTGAATAACTTTTCTGATCAAGTCCAGTGTTTAACACTGTGTCCTTAAGACAGATTCGTCCTCTCCACGGTGCTATCAGAATTTGGACGTCTATCTCCCAGGATAAAATGATCTACTACAAACAATAGCAGCACTACAAATTGTTTGCCTTACGAACACACTAAGTGTTTATACTCTCTCTGACAAGAAAATAATGCAGCAAAATGAAGAGGAAGTTTGCAGAATTATGAAGAACGAAAATTAGAGTTACAAAATCCAAATGAGGGTGGTCCTATTTATAGATGTGAAGGTGACTCTTTGATTTGAATTGAACAGGTATCATACCTGTTGGGTTTTGAATTCAAACAGATAGTAAAACGGGAAGGGCCCTGTTTGGGTGTACCTTAATTCCAAAACAGTTTATTTCTGTTTGAAAACGGGAAGGGCCCTGTTTGGGTGTACCTTAATTCCAAAACAGTTTATTTCTGTTTGAAAACGGGAAGGGCCCTGTTTGGATGAACAAAAAATCCAAACTAATTTAATTTGAATTCTGGATTTTATTTTAATAAAAAATAAAATTAAATTCAAATGTTTTTGGCCCAAAAAAAATTAGAAGCCCAACCCAACCACGCACCCGCGCCCAAGCCCAGCCCGCCCGACCGACCGGACGGACGGCGGCGCGTGTGGTGATTTTTTGATTTTTGGGTCCAATGGGTCTAGCCCATTTTGCCCATAACCTCTCCCTCTAAAACACTTGGGTACCCAACACAACCACGCACCCGCGCCCAAGCCAAGCCAGCCCGCCCGACCGACCGGACGGACGGCGGCGCGCGTGTGATGATTTTTGGGTCCAATAGGTCTAGCCCATTTTGCCCACAACCTCTCCCTCTAAAACACTTGGGTACCCCTTGGGGCACACCCCAAGTATCTACCCCAAGCCTTATAACCCCTTTCAAACCTCCCCACCAAATCAATGTGGGAAAAGCCAATTTACAACCTTAAGAAATTTCCACCAAAACTCCATTTTCATGGAGCACACTTTGGCTTCAATTTCCCATTCACTCGGTAATGGTTTTGAGCAACCAAATATACCACGTGAATCACAACGCGGCATAGAACGCGTTACCACTTTGACCCGAGTAAATCGACACTCAAGTTTAAACCATGATCACGAGTAAATCTTAGATATCTAAGAACTCGAATGATCGCTTTCCAATGGTCTTCTCCAGGGTTACTAGTGTACCTACTCAATTTACTGATAGCATAAGCTATATCAGGACGAGTACAATTCATTAGGTACATTAGGCTTCCAATGATTTGGGAGTATTTTAACCG